CTGGCTATTTTTTTTTTTCTTGGTTGCAGTCGTCATTGTTGCTTGGCGGGCCGGGTTGGATTCGAACCCGCCACCTCAGGTGTATGTGGCTGGCGCCTTAGCCACTTGAGCCACAGGTGCCAAGCCTTCCTGCATCTTAAAGACTGCTCTGATGCCTTGGAACCTTGGCCCTACCCCTAGTGTCTCTCTCGTCCTGCCTGGCACAACCCAGGAAATCATCATTAAGCAATGTGGGCAGGGCTGAAAGGAAAATAATTGCCTGCCTACTCCATTGCCTTTGATTCCAACAGCTTCCTGTCCCTGTAAACATATTTACACAGCTGTGACTGTCTGTGGGTAACAGTCTGGTAGACTGTTGTAGTCTGCTTTTGTTAACTAGTACAGTGAAGGACTGGCTCAGACACCTGCCCTGGTCCTGTCACGGCCAGAGCTTTCTCTGCCTTAGCTCAGCACAATGCCCTTGATGTTCATCCAATATATAACATGTGCTAGGACTTCTTTCCTTTTTTTTTTTTTTTTCTTTTCCTTTCCTCTTTCTTTCCAGAGTCTCGCTCTGTTACCCAGGCTAGAGTGCCATGGCATCAGCCTAGTTCACAGCAGCCCCAAACTCTTGGGTTCAAGCAATCCTCCTGCCTCAGTCTGAGTAGCTGGACTACAGGAGACCACCATAACACCTGGCTAATTTTTCTATTTTAATTAGGAGACAGAGTCTCACTCTGTCACCCTGGGTAGAGTGCCATGGCGTCATACCTCATAGCAACCTCAAACTCCTGGATTTGAGCAATTCTTTTGCCTCATGCTCCCAAGTGGCCAGGTCTACAGGAGCCCACCACAACACCTGGCTAATAATTTTTCTACTTTTAGTAGAGACAAGATCTTGCTTTTGTTCAGGTTGGTCTCAAACTCTTGAACGTGGACAATCTACATACCTCAGCCTCCCAGAGTGCTAGGATTACAGGCATGAGCTGCTTTGCCTGGTCTAATTTTTCCATTTTTAACAGATAGCTCTTGCTCAGAGTGTTCTTGAACTCCTAAGCTGAAGAGTCTTGGCTTCACAGAGGGCTAAGATTACAGGCATGAGCCACCAGGCCTGGTTAGGATCTTTTAAGACTGAATAATATTCCACTATGTGAATAGACCACATTTTGTTTATCCATTCATTCCTGGATGGACAGTTGGGTTGCTTCCACCTTTTGATTACTGTGAATACTGCTGCTATGAGCATGGGTGCATAAATATCTGTTTGAGTCTCTGTTTTCAAATCTTTTGGGTATATATTTAGGAGTGGAATTGCTGGCACACATGGCATTCTATGTTTCACCTTTTGAGGAACTGTCAGACTATTTTCTGTAGGAAGGGCACCATTTTTACATTCTCACAATATATGAACATCCCAATTCTCTATATCTTCAACAATTTTTTTTTTTT